AAAAAAAAGTCACGAAAATTGCTTAGCCAAAAAATCAAAGTTACCATATGCGGGTGGCTGGTACTCCTGACAACCACTAGACGGTCGCCTCCAATAAAACATTTGACATCGAAAATCAGCAAATTTACAACACAAAAAGTATGGCATGTAGTCATTGTGAAAGGCGGACAGACCCGGGACCTAAAGTTCGAAATTTTTTGTAATTGACTGAGTTTCTAAAAGTCAATTTGGAACACAAGCTACCTCATATTGACCCATATATGGAGATGTGCCAAATTCGTAAGCGCGCATGGGAAAACCAGGATTGTACGGGACTTCCGGGGTAACTTTAATGACCGGTTGGTAGCTAGTCTGCATCAAATGACCAGCATCATCATAGCAGCAAACTTGACCGTAATGGGTAGGGAATCTCCTAAAAAATCTCATAGAATAAGATTACCTACTTATTTTGAAAAGAGTAGATTATAATAATACGAAAACTGTTTTTGAAATTTGAAACTCTGACTTCGCCAAGGGTTTTTGGTGGCTATTAGAAGCAGTGTTTTGAAAATTTTGAATTATTTAAATTAAAATCATTACCATTAGGGTTTCAAAGAAGATTTTACTTACGCTGTATGTTCGCTTTCAAATCCATGTCCTGTGCCTGCATATGACCCGTAAATATTCTGAGCTGACATATAACAATTTCTAGCACCGATGGCTGACGTACAAGTAATATCACGGAATGCCTAAATATAGATTTGCACCAAATTGTTCAACCTTGTAGCCATACTAATGCAATTCGACCTACTTGTGAGCATCTGGGATGAGGCATAAAACGACCCAAATCGGCCACTGCCTGTTTCTCTATGCATGGGCATGAGGAATTCGTTTCCGTGTCACGAATAAAATTCCACTGGGCACCATCTTCGTTGTACCTGAATTATTGATTAAATGTGGTTGAAAATCCAATAGAAATGTGAAAAAATACCAGTCATGGCACATTTCCAGTGATTTTTGTTTCACAAATTCCACTCTTGCGCTTTCATCGTTTTGTGAGTATGTGGTCGTAGAATACTCTGGGTTATTTGTGGTCCACAGCCAATGAAGGGAAATTGGAGCAGACACAAGACTAGAATATGGTGGTATATCTTAGACGAGCAAAAAAAAAGCAGAAAAGAGTTTACCCAGAAAGTAGAGTTTGAGGTTGATTTTCTAGCTGATTTGGTTTTATTGGAGAGAGCTTCAGGTATCCGAATCGGTAGTTGTATAGCTCATGAGTTCGCTGCCAATCATTCAAATACCATTGTTCTACCTAAAAACACAAAATATAATAACATCTGAACTAGACTCAAAATCTTACAAAATGCTAGTATACTTACCTGATACAAGTTTATCCTCTCCTCTTGGGGTTTCCATCTATACTCGTAAGTATTCCGGTTAGAGTAGGTAGCAAGGCGACACAGAACGCGATGTTCAGGTCGAAACTTTTTGATCTACAATCAACTTGTGTTTTCAAAGATATCCA